AACTCATTTTTAATGCTTTCTTCAGTGGCTGGTTAGATTTACGTCTGTGCACTTGCACAATATTCCAGGGACCAAATTTTTTTTTTCCGAGTTAAATTTAGCCTAATATTTTTTATTCCGAAATAAGCGTCCTATCCGGATAAAACAGAAACCGCTTATCCAATTTAAACAAATTTGGTATCATATGAAAGAGGACTGAAATAGCTTTTAAATAGAAATAACGAATGAAGGTTACCTACCACCTCTGTTTATATTTTATAACTTAATGTAAATACATACCTGACCCAATGTTTGTTCTATGGTAATTAACTAACATTTTTTATTGAAATATTTTTATTCTAATTTTTTAGCGCACTTGTGCACAAGGGTATTATAACTTTGTTCACATAACGGTTGTTTGTAACAGGCAAANCAGTAAATATTAAAGCTAATTTATTCAAAATGATGGTTGCAACAATTCTTTGCCAGGAAATACGTTTATGATAAAATTTTGGAAAATGGGCGTGGCACCGCCCACTTATGATCACGTATATGTATCTCGCTAACCGTTCTAGCAATTTGTACCAAACTCGGTATGGTTATTGTGCTTGCCACATAAAAGTAAACCATTGAAAATTTTTGAAATCGGATTAAAATTACGGCCGCTTTTCATATAACGATAAATTTCAGAAATGCTTGAAATTTCAATATTTTGAAATTTAAGGACGCTAGTTAACTTAAAATTTATACACGCCGGCTTATCATGTAGCGGTAGCTTTCGGAAAGGTGGAAAACATATATTTAATACTTGCGCCGGGTATTTAATGTTCGGCTCCGCTCGAACTTAGACTTTCTTACTTGTTCCATGTGTGGCTTTCCTCTTTTAGACATTTAAGTTTTATTTTATTTAAGTCATCTTTCATTGGATACCAAACTTGTTGAATTTGGTTTGTTTATTTTCCGGAAAATGCTTTTATTTCGGAATAAAAAACATTTGGCCAAGTTTAACTCGTAAAAAAATACCTGTAATTTTCGGTCCCTTCAGTATTCGAATGCGAATGTTACAATGAATGCGGAAGCTCCGCCGTTGCGAATGCGAATATTCGCAACAACCCTGGTCCAGACCACCATTTATACTACAAATATAGCAAAGGTATTTATGGCAAACCTGGTCTAAATATCAACCTCGCCGTAGGTATCATATCAAATACATACAATTAGAAAAACTCTATAGGTAGATGTCGCCCCGCCAGTAGAAGTTAAATATTGCGCCTAAAAATATGCACTACATACGCTACAGCGGGAATAGACGACACGCCATTTCCTTAAATGAAATTAATTGCTGTTATATGTATATATGTACATTGTATGCATATAATAAACGTGAGCATACAACATTTTTCTTGCATAGTCTTCTGTTATCTTTTCACTGCAAGTTGAATTATTTTAATATCTATTGCAAAATTTTATACAGATAAGAGCAAAAAGTAGAAAATAAATAAAATAAAATAAAAAACTTTTTAATATACCACGCTTTTATAAATGGACTAAAAATTAGAAAATAATATATCTTAGTCCCATAGAATTTGTGTTGATAACTTTTCATTTTGAAATTTTAGCAAAAGTCATTATAAACAGTTTATGAGATTGACCTGAATTGATATGAAGAGTAATATATGTATGAATGTGGGTATATGAATAACGTCCGCTTAAAATCGATCTCAAATTTGTACTACCTTTGTAGAAATTTTAGGTCTATGTTATGTAGTTTGACTATTGTCAATTAAATCTAATGCTTTGTATTGCATGCGCTCCACGTTTTTCATTTTCAATCTCATAAATTGTTTATAATGACTTTTGCTAAAATTTCAAAGTCAAAAGTTATCAAAACAAATTCTATGGGACTGAGATATATTGTTTTCGAATTTTTAGTCCATTTATAAAAGCGTGGTATATAAAATTTTTTTATATTTTATTTCGAGGTGTTTTTGAAATTGTTTCAAAAATTGTAACAAAACTGAAACCAAAATTAATCGACCTTTTTTAAGTAACCCAATAGAGATCATAGTTTTGTTCTAGTAATTCACGAAACTGTTTAAATCTTTTACATACCCTATATTTCTCAACACGTTAATTAAAAGCTAACGAAGTAGAGATGGGCACGGGCTAAATTTTCAGGCACGAGTGCAAAATCAACTTTCAAAAACACGCACAAGCCCGCACGTTAAGAATTTGTACTACCTTTGTAGAAATTTTAGGTCTATGTTATGTAGTTTGACTATTGTCAATTAAATCTAATGCTTTGTATTGCATGCGCTCCACGTTTTTCATTTTCAATCTCATAAATTGCTTAAAATGACTTTTGCTAAAATTTCAAAGTCAAAAGTTATCAAAACAAATTCTATGGGACTGAGATATATTGTTTTCGAATTTTTAGTCCATTTATAAAAGCGTGGTATATAAAATTTTTTTATATTTTATTTCGAGGTGTTTTTGAAATTGTTTCAAAAATTGTAACAAAACTGAAACCAAAATTAATCGACCTTTTTTAAGTAACCCAATAGAGATCATAGTTTTGTTCTAGTAATTCACGAAACTGTTTAAATCTTTTACATACCCTATATTTCTCAACACGTTAATTAAAAGCTAACGAAGTAGAGATGGGCACGGGCTAAATTTTCAGGCACGAGTGCAAAATCAACTTTCAAAAACACGCACAAGCCCGCACGTTAAGAATTTGTACTACCTTTGTAGAAATTTTAGGTCTATGTTATGTAGTTTGACTATTGTCAATTAAATCTAATGCTTTGTATTGCATGCGCTCCACGTTTTTCATTTTCAATGTCATAAATTGCTTAAAATGACTTTTATTCAACAATTTTATAATGAGCTCGAGGCCATTTTTAAATGAAAAATTTATTGTGGAAAAGCATCAACAATTTGAAAAAATGGTAGAAGTGATAGCTATTTCGGAAATCACCACATTTCCTCATCAGACTTCTTTCAGTAGGATTCGAACCGACGATCCCACTGACTCAGCCAGTTGCCNAAATGACTTTTGCTAAAATTTCAAAGTCAAAAGTTATCAAAACAAATTCTATGGGACTGAGATATATTGTTTTCGAATTTTTAGTCCATTTATAAAAGCGTGGTATATAAAATTTTTTTTATTTTATTTCGAGGTGTTTTTGAAATTGTTTCAAAAATTGTAACAAAACTGAAACCAAAATTAATCGACCTTTTTTAAGTAACCCAATAGAGATCATAGTTTTGTTCTAGTAATTCACGAAACTGTTTAAATCTTTTACATACCCTATATTTCTCAACACGTTAATTAAAAGCTAACGAAGTAGAGATGGGCACGGGCCTAAATTTTCAGGCACGAGTGCAAAATCAACTTTCAAAAACACGCACAAGCCCGCACGCTAAGAATTTTAGTGGGAACTGGCCCGGCCCGGCCCGGCACGACGGGACACGCTCCAGCCCGAAAATAAAGAGCCAATTTTTATTGAATGTATACATATGTACATATTTTTAACTTTGTGTTTATGTTCATATGTATATTTACTTAAGCGAATCAATATTTTACATCAAAGATTTTTATAATATATTTTCTGGGAAGTAGAAAAAGTGGAAGGTATTTTATGTACAGATATGTATGTAAACAAAACTACTAAGTATCATATATTTTCTAACGGTTTCCAAATATTTCTTTTTTGTTTTTCTCTTATCAAAAGACTTTTAAATATGTACTTTTTTTTGTATAAAAACAAAAGCTCATCTAAATTTTTAGTATTAGCAACGGGCTTTTTCGTGTCTTTTCGTGCTTTTCTGAAATTTTACTGAACGCCCAGGCCCGCACGAGTTCGTGCTGACAGCAAATATTCCGGCCCGTGCACATCTCTACAACGAAGTCATTACCAAACGCCAAGATCAAATTTTTCATCAATCTAAAAAGAAATTTATTGGCGACTTCTATTCGTTTGCTTGATAGAAGGATATCAGCAGCGTTGGTATGTCATGGTTTTGAAGACAGATGGCCTTAAGATCGATTTTTTGAAATACATCTGCTCCAGTGTTATCTACCGGAAACTAACAAGTTTGTCATTTCCGCCTCTATTCATACTTTAAAGAAAATAATAAGTATTTGATTCGGTTATAAGGCACAAAAGTAAATGACTTCCTTTAAAAGATATTCGTTTAGAATAAACAAAAAACATTAAATATTTGTCTCTTTATAAAAAATGCGATAGTTTAGTTGTGAATGGTAGCCATTTTCACTCAGAACTGAATGCTTTTTTGAAAAAAAAGCAGTCAAATTTAAGGAAGGTATACACAATTTTTTCTCATATGTATGTAGACAAGTATGCAAATTCTACATCTTTGTAAAATGGCGAGGAAGACAGTGCATTAGAAGGACAGAGCCTTTGGACAATATAAGCAATATAAGGCCGCTTTAAAAAATAATATGGTAACAGGTCATGTTAAAATGTTTATAACCACTTAAAAATTTAGGCACAAGAGTTTTTGTACTTAAAATAAGGATGCTGCTGATAGTAGAGCTGGATGGTATCGATAGTATCGATGGTTTTTGACTATCGAAATCATCGATGGTTTTGTAAGTATCATCGATAGTTTTCACTCATACATACATTATTCAGTTAGAGTAAAATTCCAGCGGTACTTGATTCATCTTGTAAGTCGGAAAGGACATTTAGCAAAGCAGGGCAAATAATTTCAGAGCACAGATGCTGCTTGAAGCCAAAAATCGTTGATAAACTTTTGTTCCTTAACAAATATATGGACATATTTTAGCGATTCTGATCTCGTTTTCAATAAAAGTTGTTTGTTTAATTTTTGGACTTTTTTTAATCAAAACTATCGATAGTACTATCGATAGTGTCGGCATTTTCTATAGTATCGATACTATCGATGGTTGTGACTATCGACTATCGAAACTATCGATGGCCACGACTATCGATAGTTTTCCAGCTCTAACTGATAAGCGAGTTGAAACTTACCCAGTGTGTGATTAGTAGCTGTTCGTTCATTTCTAACGTTGTCATTGCTTGTTATACCATTATTGTTTGTTTGTTTTGCTGAACTCACATCAACTCTAGTCGCTTGCTCGCGACTGCTTTCCAGATCCATTTTGCTGAAAAATTCCTTGGAACAGGGGGCAGTTATAAAACTTTCAGTTATATTAAAGTAATTATCAGGGTTGTGTTCGTGGTCATAAAATTTAATTAAGGGATGTGTTGAAAAATCGGTTGATTCGAATTTTCTCCCACAATGCTGTTGTTTTTTTATTTTACAAGAATTCGATAGTTTACATAGTCCTCCGTTTTTGGCATATACTGGTTTTAAAATGCAATTGGTGTTTGGGATTCCTGCTGTCTCATCAGGTGTATGGCGTTCGAAACTAACATCTTCGATATCTTCATCTTTATAATAATTTGAACTTAATAGCTGCAACTCGCTACAACTTTCACAATCGGTGACATCGTCTGAGCTATTATGGCATAAAATTTTGCAATTAATGGAAGAATTTCTTCGTTGGCCTGTTGTTATTGGTGCAATTATCTCCAAAACGCTATTTGATTTACAACCCGCAATATGTGTTGTTCCTAAATAGCAATGGTTGTGTATACCCCAACTAAGCTCGTCCTTTTCATTATATGGACACTGGTCTCCTAGCTGAGAACGGTGTAGGGAGGATGGTTGAGGCAACACGCCGTTATTGGCAGAATCAGATTCTCCAATGAAACTGTTTAATACCCCAACACCGAATCCGTGTAACGTACTGCTATCTCCAGTTACATCACAATTACAGCTATTACTACTACTACTACTTCCACTTTTATTGCCTTTATTGTCGCCTTTAAAGTCGCTACTAGTGCTACTTCCACTGCTTTTCAAAGTTGAATTATGTGTATTAACTATATTCTTATTCGGCTGTTTATGATTTTGATGTCCGTTTCTAATGGTGATGGCTTTGAGATTATCGTTTTTGTCGTCCTTGCTTGTATTAGACGGTACTTTTGAATGGCATATTTTTTGTTTAACAGATGAAAAAAATAAATCTTGGTCTCTACTTTTCTCTTGTATTCCGCAAAATTGTGCACCATGTGCTAAGTCTTCATTTTTACCACCGATATTTTTGTTATTGTGATCACTGTTGCGCTTATATTTTGCAGAATCTCTGTAAGTAGCACTTTTAGTTTTGTTAATTCGGTTGGAACTGTTGGGAAGTATAATATCCACAGGTGACCGTCCTAGGGAACTTCTATGTCGTTGAGCTTGTACTCTAAATTCACTTTTTCTTTCGGATCTTTCTTCGATCTCCCAATCTCTTTCTTTTTCTTCAAACCATTGGTAGTTGCAGCAGCTATTGATATCGTCACCCTCACACAATCGAAATTGGGTATCAGAATTTTGTGACTGGCTGAAAAGGGTCAATAAATAAAGTTAGCTTTGAGTACTTTTAAGGCGAAACCAAATACAAATAATAAGAGTTAAAACTTAAAATTCGTCAGCCATAAAAATCTACTGACTTTTGCTAATCTATACATAGTATAAAGGAAAGTCGTAATTTTTGTACGCGGTAAACTCGAAAAATACTGAACGGATTTTGACGAGGTTTTCTCTAATATAATCTGTATCGACAGGAGACGGACCTTTTTTACTTAGAATTTTAATAGGGTTGCCACCTGTCTAAAAAACTATAAGATCCGCACCGTTCGTTGGATTACAAAAGATGAGATGTCAAATGAAAGGGATTGGCCACTAGAAAAGCACTAAAATTTTTTGTTTTCAGTAGGGTTGCCATCTGTTAATAAAATTACCATTTTCAATCATAATTAGCGTAGGCATCAGTTCTGTACCGTCACTGTCAAACGAAAATATTTAGCCTCTGGATGTGTAATAATATATTCTTTATCTGAGAAGGGTTGCCACCTGTTTAAAAACTATAAGATCTTCACCGTTCGTTGGATAAAAAAATAAGATACCAAATGAAAGTGCATGGCCTTCGCATGTACAAAAACTTTAATTTTTTTGAGTAGGGTTGCCACCTATTTAACCTTCGGAGGACACACCTTTTTTATTTGACGTGAACGACACACTGGGGTAAATTGCACCCCAATTGAAATGTTGCTTTTAAAACACACAGCTTAAGCTTTTTTTGCATATATTACGCTGGAAATATTTAGATAAAATAAATTTAAAATGAAATGTCTTATTGAATTTTTCAAAGGTACAAGATCATATAATTGCATGGTTAGCTTTTATTGACATAACGAAAAAGTTTATCAAAAATAGGCTTTGCACTGGGGTGTCTTACACCCCAGTGTGTCTTCTGAAGGTTAAAATTACTATCTTCTATACATAGTATAACGGAAAGGCGAGATATTTTAACCACGCTACTAAGCGGATTTAGACAAGATTTTTTATATATATATAATAAATGAAGTACATGACGACATATCGCTAGCTTAGAGTGAAAAGTTGCTAAGTCCACTTCTTATGAAAACTCATATTTTGATATAGGAGGCTAGAGAAATTGAATACGCATCGTTTCGAAAATTATAAAGGTACTTGTTTTATTTTTTCCTCTTCATAAGCAATAAAAGGAAAATTTGCTAAGTCCAAAAGAAGCACCACAAATCCGATAAGGCGAAAATAATACGACATCTTTTAATAAATATCGAATCCTTCTGATTCTTAAGGAGTTTTGCTGTGCTTTAAACGCGCAAAATGTTTGATTCAAAGTCTTGCGAAATAGTTAAAGAAAATGGCTGTAGGAAGATTTTTTCCTCTCCTGTATTTTTAAAATGGGACTTAGCAACTTTTCATTCTAAGCTAGCGATATGATTTCTTTCTTCTAATACGTAAATGTACATACTAGGGATGCCAAAATATCAAGAAAATTGGGATCCCGTGATTTCGGGATATTTTTTAGGTAATCCCGGGATCCCGGGATTCAAATTGAGTCATAAATTTTATGAATGTGAGTAAAAATTCAGAATCTGAAAGCATTTAAGCATACCATTAAATAAAACTATTTAAAATTTACGATAAACTGATTGTAAAACTCATATATCGCTAGCTTAGAGTGAAAAGTTGCTAAATTCACTTTTAATGAAAAATCATATTTTGATATAGGAGGCTAGATAAATTGAAATTGCATCGTTTCGAAAAGGGTAAAGGTCCTTGTTTTATGTTTCCTCGTTTATATTCAATGAAAGGAAAATTTGCTAAGGCCAAAAAAAGCTCCGAAAATTCGATAAGGCCAAAAAAGTTCGAAATCTTTTAATAAATATCGAATCCCTCCGATTCGTATGGAGTTTTGCTTTGCTTTAAACAGGCAAAATGTTGTATTCAAAGTTTTGCGAAATACTTGAAGAAAATGGCTATACGAAGTTTTTTCCTCTCCTGTGAAATTTGAAATTGGGACTTAGCAACTTTGCAGTCTACGCTAGCGATATTTATAAAATCAGATAAATTTTAAAGTAAAACATTTTTTTAATTGTATTTAAAAAGCCATGTGATTGGGGAACGTATACATCACAAATAATAATGTAAATACCAGGTACTTTTGAAAGTGACGATTAATAAAAAAAACATAAAACAAAAATATACATAAACAATTTCTCTAAACATGTTTATTCTACTCTATAAAGAAATGGCGAACGGAGAATTTTTTGCCATTTTTTTCGCAATTTAGTAGAAATTTTGAGGGTGTAACAGTCAAACGGATCTCAGAATCGGATTCAGCGGGTCGAAATACATGTTGGTAGTGGGGCTGTTTAAAAACACACATCCCTTTTTTTGCCGGTGTTGTTATTATAGCACTTAAAATGTTTTCGTAAGAGCAGCAAAGCATTCAAAGCGGAGTCTTCTAAGCTTGACCTGCAGTTTTTACATACAAAATCTACTGATGAAAAACATATTTCGGCATCAACAATTTCAGGCTGAGCTGTCAAAAGGTAGACATAATCCATTTCAAGATAATGACCCCTTTCTCCTCCATTACAAAATATTTGAACTTCTTTTACCAGTACGTCGGTCAAATTATAAGTTTTTCGATTTGAGGAAGTTTTGAGTAGATTAATCTAAAAAAATATCTAACTTTTCCATAAAACTCTGTTTCGTTTATGAGTAAATTCATATGAGTAAATTCATTGAAATCTTCTTCAAAAAAGGCTCAGACTGCAATTTAAAAGTATAGTTTCAAGCTTTTTGTTAATTTTAGTCAAAACGGCATTTTACAAAAATCATACTTCAAAATTCATTAAGAAATTCTTACTATCAATTCGATATTTCAAAATTTTCGGGATCCCGGAATTGGCATCCCTAGTACATACATATGCATACATTCAGCGCGTGGCGAAGCCTCGCGCATCCGTAGCCGGCTAGTTTTATATAATGACTAGATGAACTCGGTTGCGCGAGACTTCGCCACGCGCGCATGTGGTTAACTGCTATTGGAATAATCTACCGAATTTGGAGCAGGCAATGTACCTATGGTTGCCAGACGTACTGATTTTATCAGCACAGTACTTGAATTCCTACCCAGAATCACACGCTTTCACTCCACACTAGCTTACCGAAAATTCCTGCAATCTTCGGAGGCCCGCTGTCTTTTGGCGGAAAGTCAAATTAAGCCTCCTTGCTACTACGGCTGCCGGCTGCTACAGCTGCTGATTAACGCCGATTTTTTTTTTAAACTTTAGCCTTGTTAAAAGTTAAAGCACTTCTAGTAGGAATTGTATCACCCGCGAGAAACTACTTCCGATTGAAAAAATACCTTTTTTATTTTATTTTAGTTAAGCTTTAATTTTAGATTTTTGAGAACACGAACCCAAGGCATATTCAACAAGGTAAAAGTGACAATTCAGTCGAGCTCTCTCACACCTGACTGTAATGTCAAAAAACGTAAATAAAGAAATTAACCCTTTGTTATGCATGTACCATATTTGATAAAATTCAATATCTATGAAATGAAAGTTTTTGTAAATATGAAAATATTTAAAATCACATTAAAATCGGCTTCATTTTAGTTTTTGTATTTTCGTTTAATGTAAATGTGGAAATGCATATCTACTTACTCAAAATTACACATTTATTTATAAAACAGTTTTGGCAATTGTCTTGTTTTTATTAGCCCAATGTTTTTGAGCATTTATTTTTTTATTCAATTACTTAATTCTAGAGTATATTCGACATTTAAAAAAAAATTTTTGATTCTTTCTTCTAAATTTACATCGGAACTTAACTTCAATAGTTCAGCTATTAAATTTTTGCAATGCGAAATTTCTTTTCCATTAAATTTATTAAAAATTACTTCCAGTTTCTTTATGTCCACAAGGATTTCTGGTTTAGGTTTTATCATACCACCATTTGACATTTGGTCTATCCATGTATATGAGTGGGAGATTTTCTCTTCATATTCAATAATGCTTAATTTCCGTATGATAAATCCAGCTATGTATGAAAAATAAAAACACGACTCTTTTCACATGGCATTATGAAAAAAGAAAAAGGGATGTTAAGAACCAGAACGTCGAATTTATAACTGTAAGTGGTGATCTAAAGCGGTAAATTTAGTGGAACAAAATTGTATCATGGTGTTCGCGGAGCATTTGCTTATATGTATATGTTAATGTACTCGTGGATCCGGTCGTGCTTGTTTATGGCAGACTTACTCAGTTTGAATCTGTGCATCAACAGCTAATTTCGTCCCCACAGACACCTCAGGAACGGCCGACACTTCAGATAACTCAAGCATTGGGGAATTGTATGGTAGAGGTACTGCACCTGGGAACAAACGTGTCCGCTTGGAAATACTCGGCTGTGATGGGCAACAAATAAAGTCACTGCCACTAAAATGGTGTTCGCACACACGCGAAGAGTCTCCTAATGGAACACCGCAGCTACTTGCCCACTGTTGTCGCTTCACTTGACAATTAGGAGGTTTAAAATAAGCACAATTTGTTGTCCTGGCTCTTGCTACACAGAGCGCACCGCTCGTAATTCCTTTTCATTTTATTTTTGTATGTATGTATTTAAAATCAGTCGCACAGCTCAAAATTGAAAATTGAAATTAAAAAATTAAAATTTTGAATTGTATAGGGTTAAGAGTTGACATTACAGTCGCAGTTCGAAAGAGAGAAATGTCGAAATCACTTACCTTGTTATGCCTTGCACGAACCGGTCGGTTTGGAAGTCGGGTAGCGAATCCCTTTTACAAATTACAAAATTGACGCCTTGGCTCAAATGGAGAAAATAACTGATTTTAGGTTGGCAGTTGTACCAAACTTATGACAATGCTGAATTGCGCTGCCATATCGCTAGGGTTACCATTACATCACCCTGCTTGGAAAAGATTATTGTAAGGTAATCAGGCTTACAATAATCCATTGCTCCAAGAGGCTATGGCAAATT